GAGAGAGAGAGAGAGAGAGAGAGAGAGAGAGAGAGAGAGAGAGAGAGAGGGAAAGAAATGAGGGCATCTTAATTGGAAAGGAAAGTGAAACTATCCTTGGTGGCAGATAATATAATTTTATATTTAAAAAAACCTGAAGAGTCTACCAAAAAAAAACTATTAGAACTGATAAACAAATTCAGTAAAATTGTGGATATAAAATTGAAGTACAAAAATCAGTAGCATTTTTATATGCCAAGAGCAAACAATCCGAAAAAGAAACTAGGAAGGCAATCCCATCTACAATCTCTACAAATAAAATAAAATTCCTAGAATTAAATTTACCCAAAGATGTTAAACATCTCTACATTTAAAACTGCAAATGTTAATGAAAGAAATTGGAGGGGGCACAAGAAATTGAAAAATGTCCCATATTTATGGATAGGAAGAATTAGTATTGTTAAAATGTCAATATTACACTCCCCCCAAAATTTACAGAATCAATGCAATACCTACCAAAATAACACAGATATTTGAATCACAAAGGACCCAGAAAAGCTCAAGCAATTCTGAGCAAAAAGGACAAAGCTGAAGATATTACATTACCTGATTTCAAATTATAGTACAAAGCTATAATTAACAAGACAACAAGATATTGACATTATAATCATACATATAGGCTAATGGAAGAGAATAGAAAACCCTGAAATAAATCTAGGTTATTTGCAGTGAATTCATTTTCAACAAGGGTGCTAAGAACATACACTGAGAAAAGGGTAGTCTCTTCAAAAAATGGTGCTCAGGAAACTATATATCCATTTGCAAAAAATGAAACTATATTTCTATCTCTCACCATATAAGAAGTCAAACTGAAATGGATTAAAGACATGATGTAAATCTAAGATCTGAAACTATAAAACTTCTAGAAGAAAACATTGGAGAAACACTTGAGGTTTGTCTGGGCAAAGATTTCTTAAGTAAGACTTCAAAAGCACAGGCAACCAAAGTAAAAATGGACAAATAGAAGCACATCAAGCTAAAAAGCTTCCATATAGCAGAGGAAACAATCACCAAAGTAAAGAAGTAACCCACAAAATGGGAGAAAATATTTGCAAACCACTGGCAAGGGATTAATAACCAGAATATATAAGGAGCTCAAACACTGCAATAGGAAAAAAATAATCAGATTAAAAATGGGCAAAAGATCTGAAGAGACATTTCTCAAAAAAAAAAAAGAAACAAATGACCAGTAAATATATGAAAAAATGACCAACATTAGTAATCATTAGGAAAATGCAAATCAAATAACAGTGAGATACCATTCCAGCTGAGTTATAATGGCTTTTATTGAAAAGGTAGACAATAATAGATGCTGGTGAGGATGTGGAGAAAGGGGAACCCCATACACTGTTGGTGGCAATGTAAATTATTACAGCTACTATGGAGAAGAGTATGAAGGCTCTTCAAAAAACTAAAAATAGAACTACTATGTGATCCAGCAATCCCTCAGCTGGGCATATTTCCGAAAGAAAGGAAATCAGTATATTGAAGAGATACCTGCACTACCATGTTTGTTGCAGCACTATTTATAATAACCAAAGATATAGAACCAACCTAAGTCCATTAGCAGATTAATGGATAAAACAAATGTGTCATATATAAACAGTAAAATATTATTTTACCACAAAAGAATTAAATTCTATCATTTGCAACCACATAGATGAACTAAAAGACCTTATGTTAAGTGAAATAAGCCAGGCACAGAAAGAAAAGAATATTACCTGAAAGAATTTGATTAATGAGTACAAAAATAGTTTGATGGAATAAATAAGATGTAGTGTTTGATGGCAGAATAGGGTGATTAGTTTACAATAATTTGTTGTCTATTTTAAAATAATTGAAACAGTGTAATTGAAGTGTTTCTATCACAAGAAATAATAAATTTTTGAGGTGATGGGTATCTCAAATACCCTGATTTGATTATTACAATTTGTATGCTTCTATTGAAACATCACAGCTGCTCCAGAAATATGTACAAGTACTATGTATTCTTAATAATAAAAAATAAAAATAAACAAAAAGAAATGAGAAAACAATACAAAAATCTTAAGCAATTACTTAGATGTGCCTTTTCTCTCTTACCCAAACATATTGTGTATTTTTCTGTACCACTACTTTACAAGAGCTGTTTTCTATCCTAATATATCTGGGTGGGCATCAAATTCTCTTATAATATTTAAAACTTAGAATATTCACTATAGCCTTTGTGAAGATGTCCCCAGTTCTCACCTACTTGACCCTCAATATGTCTTCTTTAGGTATGCACAACAAAAGATAATCTTTGCCTTGTGAAAGGCCTGAGCAATATATATTTGATCTGCTGTTCAGTATTTGAGTTTCTGCCTTTGTGTATTAAGAAGTCCGCTATGTACCTGTATGTACCATGCTAGGCACACGGGAAACAGTGGTGAACAAAACAGACATCCAGATGCTTCTAGAACATATAGGTTAAGGGTCAATATGAACCATAAACTATAAATCAAAAGAAAAATACAAATCATTAACTGATTTTTTAAGAGTAAATGCCAGGAAGGTAAAGCTCAAGAAAAGTAATATCATACACTAGGGTGCAAAACTTAGCTTTGCCACTCAAAAAAAAAAAAGGTGTCCCTGTGGAAACGGTGTTTAAGCTGAGACCTCAAGGATGAGTACAAGTTATCCAGTTATTGAAAAAGCAGACAATCAATTTGAGAAGGGTGGAAAGAAAAAGCAGATATGCTAACTCTCCTTCATACATGCATTTATCTATTCAACAAACATTAATTGAGTGCCCACTTGATGCTGAGTGCTCTTGGAGATTGAGGAAACACAGAAGAGAACAAGTTGGGAAATTTTAACTTGTTTGAACTGAAATTCTGGAGATGAAGGAAGAGAGCACAAGTTCTTTTGGAACTTAAATTCTAGTGGGGAAGACAAACACATGAGAAAGTGATGCTGTTTCAAGCTCTGACCTGTGTAATGAATGAAATCTATGGTCAGGCATGGTGGCTCATGCCTGTAATCCCAGCACTTCGGGAGGCCGAAGCAAGTGGATCACTTGAGGTCAGGAGCTTGAAATTAGCCTGGCCAACATGGTGAAACCTGGTTCTACTAAAAACACAAAAAGTAGCCGCGAGTGGTACCAGTAATTCCAGCCACTTGGGAGGCTGAGACAGGAGAATTGCTTGAACCCCGGAAGCAGAGGTTGCAGTGACTGAGATTGCACCACTGCATTCCAGCCTGGGCGACAGCAAGACTCCATCTCAAAAAAAAAAAAAAAAAATTATATACACACACACACACACCATATATATATATATATATATATATATATATATATATATATATATATATATATTAGGGCTATGTGATAAGTAATGTTGGGAGAGAAGGAGCCAGCCATATGTAATAGGTGGGTCTGGGAAAACCTTTCAGAGGAGTTAAGTTTCAGTGGGTGAAAATGCAGTATCCATGGGGTTTGGTATAGTCGAAGTGAAGAAAGTCAGGGGCAGAGATGTGCATAATTCATCTGGAAAAGTATGTGAGACCAGATTCTGCAGGAATCTGTGAATTTTGAGTATTTTCCCAAGGGTAATGTGCAGCTATCAAAAGGTATTAAACAGAGGTGTCACATGGTCTTATTTGCATTTTGTAAAATGAGTAAAAACATCCTCTTGTGGAGCATGGATGGCTGTTAAAATCTCTCCTGAGATGCTAATAGGCATATAAACACTTGACACTGACTGTCTGTACTACTAAAGCTGACATGCGTGCAACCAGGTGACTCATTTATCCCCCTCCTAGGTACATTACCCAACATAAATGCATGAATATTTGCGCCAAAACAGATGTGCAGCATTTGATATTTGAAACATTTGAAATTGAAGCAACACTGTTTGTAGTACCTCCAACCTAAAACCAAACCAAATGTTCATCAAAAGTAGATTAAATAAATAATAATGTCATATTCATATAATGGAATACTTTGTAGGAATAAGAATAAACAAATTATTGCTACACACAACACTGAGGACCAGGACAAGCAAGACATTGAAAAAAGGAGCTACATGTCCAAGAGTATTGTGTGATTTCATTTATATAAATATTCAACTCTGGCCTTTAGTGTTTGAATTTAGAATCTGGTTGTCTTTGAGGAGGAGAATGGGAATACCTTTGAGGTGGCTTTGGGGTACTGGTGATGTTCCATTTCTTGACCCAGGGAGAAGTGGGCTACATGGGAATTTACATTACTATGAGTCATTGAGTTGCACAATTGTGATTTTTGCTCTTTTATTGTGTATTCTATAATTCAAATAAAATTATAATAAAACCAAGATCCCCCCCAAAAAAAATGTTAAGAACGATGGCCATCGGCCAAGCAAGACTTGATCATATCCCAGACCAGAAGGTATAAGAATTAATAAGTAGATTAAAGTGATACTATATGGACATTAAGATGCTCAATGATTGATCACTGAGGCATCAGGAGGAATCCGATAATTCTTAGAATTTTGTGCAAACTTACTCTCTCCCTCTCTTTTGTAAGCTTTTTAAAGGTGTGTCTGTATCTCATTTCTATTATCCCCACAGCCAAGCACTACAATGGATGTGAAATAAATGTTCAACAAATGTTGAATTGATAAATAAACACCACACTTGCTGATGAAGCTGGAGGCTCTCATTTGATAGCAGAGGATAAAGAGCAGAAGAAAAGCAGGTCAGTAAGCTGTAGTGCTCTCAACTGTTACTTCATAGAAAAGGAAACAAATTTAGAGTTGTTTGGAACAGTGGTGTTGATGTTTTCTTAGGTCTCATGGACACGGCAATGAGTCCTGACATGGGGTGGGAGACCATCTATTTACAATCGGCACTCAACATAAGCCTTTTAAAGTTTTCTGCGGAAGCCGAGATGAAGTAAAAATAGCACCGTATTATTCTAAGTCTGACTGATGGGAACAGTTGCATAAAGGTTTCTTGTTAAGCGCATCAAACGTTACCCTTTGTGTGACTTTGGTTTAGCTTGCTAGTCTGATTAAATTCCATTCACCAGCAAAGGAAGAGATTGGTATTTATATGTCTGAAGCTGATCTGAGTCTGGCTGTCCTAGACAATGTGGATATTTCTGGAGAGAGAGGGAGAGAAAAGCCAGGGTTTATCCACTTGGTTTATTAATGGTCACCAAGAACAAACAGATACTGTGTAAGGTTTAGTAGATCTGCCTGCGTCTGAGCTGTTTTACATCAGCTTTTTTTTCTTTCCTGGATTTATAAAGATTTGCACAGTCATATGCCAAAGCATTTTTTTTTTCTTTAAGGTAAGTGGATTTTTTTCTACATTATATTAGATACTTAACCACTTTCTTAGAATGGGCATATTTAGAAAAAACTGTTTCTTTAAAAAAAAAAAGTTTGTGACTATAAACAAGAACTTCACAGTCTGGAACCAGGGCTGGGCCAAGGGATTTCGAGTGAGGCTGGCTAAGTTTTCACATCTCTGCACTTACTCTTGTAACAGACATGAAACACTAGTGAAGGTATTTGGACTATGGGCCCGGTTTTCCTTAACTGTAAAATCATAAGCATACTATATACCTAACCACTTTATCAGTATTTCAACCTTGAAATAATGTATATTTAATGCCTAAAATGATTCCTGGCATACCGAGACATGAACATATATACTACTGACATTCTCTTTGTCTCTATTCTGATGCTGAATTACAGTTCGTCTTTATGAACAGTTTTGTTTTATCTTATACCAAGAGCCCTAATTTATTTAACCCTGAGATAATTATATTTCAATTTAAATTTTGGCTTCCATTTACTTTCTCACCATCAACCATCAGTATTATTACTGTGTGTCAGTGGATGTTGGTATTCCCATTTATTCCTTTATCTGCTGTGAAATCAAGTATCTGCATTCACAGAAAGGAAGAGCAGAGTCTGAGTTCAGGCCTAAGGGGGCCTTCATGGGTGAGTCCTTGGGCTCTTAATATAGCCCTTGTACATCTTTCCTGGCTGCTCAGGAAACTCTTTATCCTTGAGGATTCTTGTTGGATAAGTGAGGTCTTACTGATAAGTGTTGGAAACTCCTCAAAAACTCATACTTATGTGCATGAAAGATAGAAGCCCTTTGTAAAAGTGAATAGAAATGAAGCTCAAATATCCTCAAAATATGACTATAATGCATTTTGTGAGGACAGACATTCTGCTAGGCTCATTTGCAAAAGGCACCAATATTTGGCTGGGCAAGGTGGCTCATGCCTGTAATCCCAGCATTTTGGGAGGCTGAGGCAGGCGGATCATGATTGTTGGTCAGGAGTTTGAGACCAGCCTAACCAACATGGTGAAACCCCGTCTCTATTAAAAATGCAAAAATCAGGTGGGCGTGGCACACACCTATAATCCCAGCTACTCAGGAGACTGAGGCACGAGAATCACTTCAACCCGGGAGACGAAAGTTGCAGTGAGCCAAGAATGCGCCACTGCACTCCAGCCTGGGTGACAGAGTGAGACTCCGTCTCAAAAAGAAAAAAGAAAAAGGCACCAATGTTAAGAATAACTACATATTCCTGCTTTAATAAAAAGACAAGTAGCTGAAACCAGTTTTACCAATAAGAAAAAATTAATATACTTTGAAAGGATCAGAGCAGAGCAAGGGGAGAAAAAGAGCAGATTTATAAGTTGGGAATGGTGACAAGTGTCTGTAATCCCAGCTACTCCAGAGGCTGCAAAGGGAGAATTGCTTGAGCCCAGGAGTTCAAAATCAGACTGGGAAACATAGTGAGACTGTGTCTCAAACACAATACACGCACACACACACACACACACACACACACACGACTGGGAAACAGAGTGAGATTCTGTCTCACAACACACACAGACACAAACACACACACACACACACACACACACACACGCACACATCAAACCCAGTTCACCAGGTTTCACCCTGTATCTGAGGTAGTAGGTCTGGAAGGAACTGGAATGATAATCTGAAATGCAGATGATCCCACCAGGTAATGCCAGTTTTTCTGGTTGTGGGGCTCCGCTTTGAGAACTGGTTTGGATACTGGCTATTCAGAGTGGTCAGGCATGGTGCACAGACCAGTAGCACTGATGACCGCTGCGAGCAGTGTTGTGCATGCAGCCTCAGACTCCCTCTCAGACCTACTGGATCAGAACTTGTGGGCACAGTAAAACCTAAGACTTACTAGTTTTTGTTTGTTTGTTTTAAAGCAGATCTGAAAGCAAATAGGCAAATGGTCAGCCCACTGGTGGAAGAAAATCAACTGCAACCAAGGGTTAATATTTGAGCAGATTCATACTAAAATGGAGTATAAATAATTCTACATGTCAGGGAATTAAAATGGCACAGGGTAAGGGGATTTGTCACAATAATATCTCACAAATGGAGAAATATAGTTGTCTAGGATGTCTGACTGCGTACAAGTTACTTTTCACCCTCTGGGTGTGGACAGAGCTCAAAGAGTATACCATGACCTTCCTTTCTTCTATAAATTACTGACGCTAGTACCTCCCTGTCTGTGGATGCATTGAGAGATAACAATGCACCCTGATCTATGGCCTCTTTACTTCAGATTCTCAATCTTCAGTGCATGGATGAAGCCACCAATCTGGCAAAGCACCCAGGAGAAGCTATTACTTCATTTATGACACATTTAAATTTGTTGAATAAACAATTTTGTGTCTTCTATGAGGCCTATTACACTTGACCCTGAGAAGTACTTACTAATAATTTTTCAGTTAGTATTTATTGGAAGAACTCTAAATCAGCATTTCTAAATGAAGCTGAGTCCAGAGGGCAGAGGGCTGGTAGACAGATGATGGGGAAAGCTTACTCTCAACATTCCTTTAGAAAGTTGAGGTTTATAGAGGGTTGGTTTTGGCAACTCCACTGGAAACTTATGTTTGGATAGCCATCTAATTCTAAACCAGTTCTGACTTTGACCAGAATTTGGGTATGAGACAATAAATTAGCCTGATATTGTTGGAAAGAAATCTACTCAGGTTAAGAGTCAGAAAACAAACTTGCTTTTATTAGCTCTGTGACCTTGAATATAGCATTTAACATTGCTGAGGCTTAGAAGGTAGGACAGTATGGGTGGGAGGTGAGGGGACATTTACTGAGAGCAAAGACAAAAATCTCCTACAACAACAGATATGAGCCCTGCTTACTGTGTCTCCGTGCACTCAAAGACACATGCAAGAGGCACAGGGATGTGCATTAAAATGCAGAGTTTGCTGCAAGCAGTTATCAAATGAACTTGGTCACATCAGCCATGTTTCTAAACTTACCTGTCTTGATTCTTCTTCAGGAACAACTGTAGGCTGGTAATCAGATCTTACAGTATAGTAGTTAAGCTTATCATATTTGGTGTCTGACAGATACAGGCACAAATCTCAGGTCCACAACTATGTGAACATAGGCAAATTGCAAAACATTGTTAAGCCATTGTTTCCACATCTATAAAATGGAAAAAAATAATGGCTTCTGCCTCAATGCTGTATATGCTGAATGAGAGGGAAAATGTACAAAATCTCTTAGCATAACAGAGTACAGAACCTAATACAAACTTAGCCTCAATCAAGTCTAAATATTTTCACCACTGTGAATTGTGGATTATTTACTTACATTTTAATCCAAGTGGTTATTTCCATCTATTTCATGATCTTTGTCCTTCTAGGTATCTCCCATGTGATACTTTCACCTGGACTGCATTTCTGGCTAGTTAATGATTCCGAGGTCCTATGAATGAAATATGACCAGTCCTTTATCTCACCCTCTCTTAAGTTCAATTCCCATTCAGGTCCTAAACACATTAATCTTTTTTCCAGGTGTATTAAGTCGAGTTCCTTAGTAGTAGGTACCAGGAAAAGGATCCATGTAATACAAATAAATCAAGAATCATTTTCTTAAAAACGGTAAGAGATAGGGAATGGGGGAAGAAACAAAGGCCACACAAGAGTGTGTTATCAAACAAAGTGTCAGGAAGGTAAATGTTGGCTCAGTCCCACAGTGATCTCTGGAGACGGCACAGACGATACACAGGTTTGCAGGTAAACTAGCTCCCTGAAAATAATGGAATTATCCCAACCAGATGGCAACAATAAGTGATACCTATCACTTATTGTTTGAGAGCTGCCACAGAAATTTGAAGGTCTCCGTGTATTAAGGCAAGTTAGCTACTGATAGCCTGAGGGAAGGCTGCCTACTAAGAAGCACACGTGCCAGCTGTTGTGAGTAAAGGCATACATGGAACAGACACACGAAAACAGTGTAAAAGGAATCATGGGAACATAGGCAGAGCCTGACAGCATCTGCCATCACAATAATGCTAATATTAATGTAACCAGAAAAGGAGCCCTGATGCAGCCTCCAGGAGCATGTTCTTGCAGAAAGGAATTCAAGGTGAGTCGTAGAAAGAAGAGAGAGCTCATAGAAACCTACCCTATTACAGAGTAAAGCGTACTCAGAAAGCAAGAAGAGGAATGCTTCACAGTGAAAAGAGATAGTTTCTTGAAACCTACTCCATTACCGGGTAGTGTCCTCAGAAAGCAAGTGGAGGAACTCACTGTCTTTGTTTGAAGTTTTTCTTATATAGGAGTCTTATCTATGTAAAGAATAAACTAAGCTGTACCTACATGTGGGTGGGCCGAGAGCATGACAGAATTTATTATTTTATTGAGTTAAAGAAAACCATCTGTGACATGTTAGTGTATAAGTACATTAAATTATAGCTATAATTACCTTGAAAGCATATATTGTTATGGGTATTGGAACATTTGGGCTTCTGCTTTTGTCAGAGTTTATCCTTACAGACATTACCAAGCTGATTCCTTAGGTAAAAACGTTTTAGGACTATGGGTCATGATTAGCAAAGACTGTGCCTTGCCAGTTTTAAGATGATTTGATTTTAAAATGGTGTCACTCTGGCCTTCCTAGGCTCCTGCTTTCCTAACATTAATATCCCAGCAAAAAGTTTCTATGAACATAATAGTATGCCCTTTATACTTTCATCTTCGTTTCAATTAGCTGGGTAAGGATTATTAGTCCCATTGATGGATGGTTTAGGTTAAAATCATTTGACACACACTCATATGTACACATACATAGACAGAAATACCTTCAAATTTCAGTTTAATAATTTATTCCATGATATTTGGCTTTACCATTAAAGTAGGTCATTTAGTTAATGAATTAATGATAGTTATACAAATTTGTGCTATATTGATTTACATAAAAAGGGGAGCAGTCTTTGACAGAATGTATTTTTATTTTAAGTATTTAAAT